GATTGAAGGCGATTATGAGATGCTCCGTCCATAGTGGACAAAGGTCGCTCGAAAAGGCCTTGTCGCCTGACCCGGATGTGCAGGGTCTTCTCCAGAGCTGGGTGCTTGGATTTTCCGATGGCAGTGGGAAAAATCCAGGAGGATTTTGCAGGGCTGTGCGAAACTCGCAGAAGCTCCAGCGGCTGACGGCAGAGAAGCAGCTTGAGGGTGTGGACGAAAGCCTGAGGCGATTGTGCCACTTCGGCTTTGCACCCCAACGTTTCAACACCGTCTGCGATGCTTGCGTCAACGTGGCTGAGAACATAGATGCGGTCTGCAATGTCCTGAGCCATCTCGCAGCGGTGGATGATGCACTGTCAGGCCACTCAACTGATCGTGCTCGTTCATGAGTCCCCGTGGATGGCGAGGCCTTTGCTTAGCCGATGTTTTTGTCTGTGCTGTCTGAGGTTGGGCCACTAAGCTTCTTCAACAATGCTTTCAGCCGGAGAAGCTCCTCCAACTTGGCTTGATCGCGGAGCTTGCCTGTGCCGCTGCGAGCCGCGACTGCAGGAATCAGTCTTGTTTGCAAGTCTTCTCTGGCAAGAGATCCAAGGAAATTCAACCACTCACTGGACGGCCAACATCTGCGATTGGCTGCGACAGCCCACAATCTTCAGCAGCTCGAGCGTCTGATCAATCGACTCTTCGACTTTCGGAGTCCGGCAGGAGAGCTGCAGCAGCCGCTGGTTCTGGATGATGCCTATGCACATGGCTACGTACAAAGACTGCAGGCGACTCTAAAGCTTGAGCAGAACAAGTGCCTGGTTGTAAAGCAAAAGATGATCTTCTGGCACAGCGGCGCCAACAGGAACAAGATACGTTCCTTCGTGGCCAAAGAACTCGGTGCCATTCGCAACATCGCTCAGCTTTTTGTTCAAGGCCTGAAAGCCGATGTGGAGGTTGGCGTCCAGGCATCGCTTTCTCCGTTTGATGTCAACCATACCCTGTGCAGCGACGAAGCTTTGCCAGAGCCACAGGATCCATGATCTTCTGTGCGATTCTGCTCCTGTAATAATCACCGCTACTAACATCCGATGCCAAGGCCTGACATCTTCAAGCCGCTAGCAGAGGCTGCACAAGTGGAGGTCTGGAGCCCACACCGCTTCAGCGGGACCGAGGCTGTGATGTTCAACCGCTCAGGTGACACAGCTGGCCAAAGAGTTCCTCTTGGCACGTCCTACAGCCTTGCTGGTGAAGTCACAGCCTCCCGGCGACAAGTCTTTTCTTCGGAGGCCCTTCACTCCAAGACGAACAGTGCATGACTGAGGACCGGAGGCGAGGATTTGAATGAGATCTGGTCCAGGACCATGCGGCATTGGTCTGACAAACTCCCGGCTTTGTCTGAAGCGGCTCCTTACCTGCCTAGCTCAGTGTCTTTGAGCTGTGGGATTAAACGTGAGACGACGAAAGCCATTCTGTCCTGAGGCTGCCCTCGTCCTGAGTTGCTTCCCGAGCACCGGCGAGATTGAGCAGAATTTCAGCTGGCTGCAGCAGTTCTCTGAGGGGAGAAAGGGCAAGACTTCGCGGGGACACCTTCGGCAACTCGGCTCATGTCAAGTCCATCTTGTCGTCCTGCATGGGACCAGAAATTTGAAAATCTTCTGCTCTCAGTCTCTGTCGAAGTGCCAGGTCATTAATGAAGGGCCGACAGCCGACCAACTCGTCTGTCGCGAGCCCCACAGCATCCTCCCGAGAAAGCCGTGCCTGAAACTGCTGCAAGAATACCGTCGCCTGTTTGCTCCGAGCGGCGGCTCGCAAGGATGCCGCAGCTCACTGGGTCGTCGGGTTCTGAACGGCCGCCTGAAGCCGCTTTCAAGAGCTGGCTTGAAGCGACAGCGAGGGCTGGAGCAGCAGCAACTCTTGCAACAGGCGCCAGCGGAGTCTCAGCCTGAAGACCTCGCTATTTTGGAGGCTGAAGCCGGCGAATCAGCCAAACGTCGCAGGACTGACAAGCAAGTTAGCCTGACTGCCGCGCTGCAAAAGTACAAGACCAAGAAGGAGGAATGGGCGACACTTGATGCTTCGTCCGAAGCAGCCGCTGCTGGCCGCCTGATAGAAAAAGAGCGGGAGGCTGAAAAACGCTTCGAGAAGCTGAAGAAGATCGGCGTGGCCAGACTTTCAGCCGTGCGGTCTGATGTCCTTGCGGCCGACCGCGACCGTTTGATCATGGTGGTGCATGGCCATGACTCCAGCAAGACACCGGGCCTGCCTGATCTTGAACGACTGGGCAATGCTCGTGCTTGGCCTGAGTCGATCGAAGACCAAAGAAATTTGGTTTACGATCTGCTTCGTCATACATCTGAGGACTGCGGCAGTCATCGACTCCTCTACTGGGTCTGCTTGTCTGACGAGGTCGAGCGTGACTTCATCTTCAAGCCGTCTGAGAGTGCTTTCTCGGCTGTTGCTCGCCACTTGGGAGGCGGTTTTTGCGGTCGACAATGGGTGCAGGCATGCATGGATGAGGGCCGTCTCTTGCCAGCCTTGACATGCCTGAAAAGCAGCTTGACGACGACACAGGAGCTGTGCTTGCATAGCTCCTGTATGTCTGACGACTCTGCTTTGCCCGCCACTCGGATGCTGGGTGCTGTTCTCGATGCCGCGGAGAGGGCTGACATTACAATTTCATGGACACGTCGCAAGAGATGGCGAGATGTTACCTGCAAGAAGTGTTCTGTCATAGTCGACGGTGAGACGGCTGAGAAGTACAGGAGGAAGAAGCAGAGGCATCCGGGCTGTCTGATGACAGTGGCGGAGTTCATCGCTGACAGCAACACGGCTCTTTTTTCGTTGGTATTCGCACACAAGCTATAGGTCATGACTTTGCACATGTACATGCAGTTCTCTACTCAGGCACGAAGTGGACTGACACCTGATACCGCCCGATGCTGCCTGAACGACTGAGCAACGATGCCAAGGCCATATTTTCATCTTGTCCAATCTAACTTGATACTTGTCTTGGTCAGGCACTTCCACACAGCCATCGAGTGCTTGACAAGTGGTCGGCGTGCACCGGCTCCGACTGATTCGTCAGGAACCTTGCTGCAATTGTTATTTCTCTTGATTCCTGCCCTTACGTTCTCAGTGATCCTAGGTACCAAAGATGTGTGGTTTGCTGCGACAGCATGCCGCCGAGTCGCACTGCTGTCCCTTTGCTGTGGGTTCCCTTCTTGCTCTCTTTCTGAATGAATCCTAGGCAGTCGTGCTCTGCCTACTACACGGCCTGAAAGCCAGGGGTGGGGCTGCCTTGAGCGCCTCGGGGATGTTTCCTTAAGTGAAACAGTCTGAATTTCACGACGTCTGATATCCATCTTGCAGTCGCGACACAATTATCCTCAAAACATAGCTTTCTATGTGATCTCGGCTGTTTCCACGGAAACTCGCTTTGTAGATGACTGATGAGTTTGGGGTGGAGCCGGGGAGACCAAAAAGTGCCGTCGCAGATCTGTCTGAGAAGTTGTGCTTGCATCGGCTTTGCCACTGTCCTGCTTTGCTTCGGCGCCTTCCGACCGCTGAGGTTTGACCCCGGCGGCAGAGTGAGTGCCGAAGCCTGAAGCCTGAAGCATCGAAGCCACAACACAACATCGCCTGACAAATCACAAGCTAAAGCCTGAAGCATCGAAGCCACAACACAACATCGCCTGACAAATCACAAGCTAAAGCCTGAAGCATCGAAGCCACAACACAACATCATTCTCACCTGGAATCGAGCAAGTGATGCGTGGAAAGAAGTGTTGGACGTCGCCTTGATGTGCTGTAGATGCTTAGTTTCCGGTATAAAAGTTTCAACTTTTATGGCCCGGGCCTTTCAGCCAGTAAGCTAAGGCCTAAATCTTCACGGGCTAAAACTGTTTGAGTTTGAGGGTTGACAGTTTGGTGTTTCGGGGTTCGAATGAACTTCAAACTTAAACTTGATGTTTGTGCGAAAAGCTGAACACAGGAAGTAAACGATGTTGACCAGGAGTGAAAACCCTTTATGTTAGACTGGTTTTTCTAAAAAAATCCATTCCAACATAAGCCCTTGAATGTGAAAAGCACCGGACAGCCCCACAAAGAAGACTTCGGAATAGACCTAAGCGGATGCCGTCATGGTCGGCCCATGAATAAACGGCCCGTGGATGAACGGACAGGGTCTGGGCTGACGTTATCCTGGTTGGCCAATGGATGCTGTGCCGGAACGGATGGAGTCCGGGTGGACGTTGTCACGGTTGGCCCATGCATGCCGTGGGAGAACGGATGAAGTCTGGGTGGACGTTATCGCGGTAGGCGGATGGATATTCTGCGAGAGCGGATAGGTCTGAGTGGACGTTGCGATGGTATGCCCAAGGATACAGAACGGATGGTGTAGGGGTGGACGATATCTATGATATCACGACTGGCCCGTGATGCCGTGCGAGAATGGATCATGGTTAGCCTAACATATTATGAAGCTGCAGCAGCCGTTTGTCCCGTAAATCGCAGTACGGCAAGAACCGTCTTAGTGCGTCGTAATGCTCGGTTGGGAAGCTGATCCTGAAACCATCTGAAACCCCTAAAAGCGTAGGGGGTTTGAGTTCTTCAGCCCGGTTCTTGGTCTGATGTATGAGTCATGGCTTTCAACTCCAGCAGAATGGTTGGGTGCCCATAGTTTCGGGGTTCTAGTTTCAGATCGGCGGCCGGGGTTGCGAATCAGAATGATCAGAGGGGGATAGTTTCGGTGCCAAGTTCTCGCGCAGACTGGTAGCAAGTCAGTTTCGGCACGCAAGGTCTGCCAATTTCGTGGGGTGATGTGCGCATTTTCAGTCCGATTCTTGCAGGCCTGGGCCTCAATGTCCTGATCCGAAACTGTCCCGAAGCATCCGAACCATGTTCCGAAGCTCCGCCCCGAAACTAACCTCCACAACCCTGAAACTCGCAAGTTTCCAAGGAAGTGCTGATTTCGGAGGCGCGAAACCATGATCCCTGAACCTGAAGTTGCCCGGGAGGCGGGACCAGCAGCAGAGTTTCTCCACCCGGTGGCGCGGCACTTGGAAAAGAAGGTGCCAGGGGCTTTGTTTATTCGAGAGGGTCTTCTCAGTTGGGCTTTGGGGTTTAGCACCGGCTGGCTTGTTCGGGAGCGAATTTGGATTTATGTAGAGGTGTTGGATTGTAAAGCGGAGGGGATTGAGGGTCTTGACGAAGCTTTTGGGTTCGATGGGCTGCAGTCCAAAATACGGATTAGAGGCTTCATTCTGTTTCGTTTATGAGTAATGAAGTCATGAGGGTTGAAGCCAGGACCCATGTACTTGAACAGTTGCTTCCCGTGTTTACGTGCACTAACTAATGACTAAGGGGACCCCCAATTTTGGTGACAACCCCATGCCGACTTTAGCTTCGATGTTTGGTGGGTAGGTTTGGGTTCAGGTGCTTTGCGGTTGACCGGGGTTATTGAGCTTTGGGGTGTTTAGTGCTTAGAGTTTTGCAGTTTAGGGTTAGGCTTTCGGATGTCGGCTACGGTTCTGATGGAGTTCAGGGTGTTATCCCGATTTAATCAGCTTAGTCTCTTGTGTTTAAGTGTCATACAAGGGTGAAGGTTCATCGTTTTCGTGCTGAAGCATCTGAAGCTTTAGAGCCTTGGCACTGTGGGGTGTTGGGTAAGCTATTTGGGGGGTGCTGTAGATCTGGAATCTGCAGTTTGATTGGGGGGAGGACTGTTTGTTTCGCGCCTTGGATCGTGCAGGGTGGGGGCACCCGAACTTGACCTCGTGTTGATTTGTCCACGTCCCTCCCTTGGCGCAGGTCCCTTGGGGTTATTTTAGACCCGAACCACTCCCTTGGCCCCAAACCCGAAAGCTCCAGACTAACTAAATTCTTGCAGCAAGCAAGCCTTTTAATTTCACCTCTGCGTATGCTATAGAAGCTCTGTCTGAGTCTGCAGATCCTGGCTGGTTTTGAGCGACATTGTGATCCCAGTGCTGCTTTGTTCGGGCTAACGAACATGTTCATCATAAGCCTCGTGCATCACAAAGGGCTGGCTTGAAGAATGCTATATCAATCGGGGTCCTGAGCCTCCCCATCAGCATCAAAGACAGCCTTCCTACTTAAAGATTTTGGTGGGTGTCCTTGTGGCCCGAAAGTCCTGAAGCCCTACCCCTTACATTTCACACGGATCGTACGTGACTTAAACCGAAACCTTAACTAAGCTTTAAACTCAACACCCCTAAACCCCAACTTCGAGCCCGGAGGAGACGTCGTCAAGCCGCTCGAAAGAAGAATATCGAACCCCATAACGAAAGGAGACCGCGGGTCGCTGGGCATCCTCCTTGGACGTGGATCGTGCCTGCCTGGTGGAGACCATCCACCCAGGGTGGCAGGTGGCAGAGGGTCCGGCAGGGCTTCAGGGGCTGTATACGGGTTTCTGGGGTTGTGGTTCATAGTTTTCTGGTGCAGGTGGCAGCAACGCTCCAAAACCCGAAACCCCGCACCAACATATGGATCCGATATATGAGGTATAAGGCATAAAGATCCTTGCGGTTGTTTCGGGAATGATCTTGCAATGAAGGACCCCTGAAAACCAAGTGGGTTTAGGGTTTTGGGATTTGCTGCTTTGAGGTTTTTGGGTTTAGGCTTTCGGTGCGTTTGGTGTTGAAGGGTTTCGACTTCGGGCTTAGCTTATAGGAACCCATGTCCCATATCCCGTACTTGAGGGTATTGTTATTGATGCCCCGATAACGAAAGGAAGATAGTGCTTGCGCCTGCAAGGTTTGAAGTTGAAGACCGTGCGGCTCTGGCGGGTTAAGGTTTTCGTCTCATCAAGGTTTACACGGTTTCTGGCTGGAAGTCTTTAGGTTGAAATGTTCGGGGGTAGGGCCCCAATGAAGGACCCGAAAACTTGGCCACTCAGCTCCATAGTAGTTCTTGCAAGAATCCTCGCTTCCAAGCGTTATCGGAGACTCACAATGAGTATGAGTGTTCAGCCACGCACTCACAAGATCCCTCAACAATTCCGCCAACCAGACAGAAAGTCCCAACCACTCGATGATCTCGTTTTCTTGTGGGTCCTTAGCTGTCTTGGCCTGGCAATGTAGACCCCTGGACTGATTCTTCAACCTGCGTTGTTGTTAAAGGCTTTTGATCCGGAAATTTTGTTATGCGTCCTTCGGCGAAGCTTCCTTTTTTTCTCACAGCTCCTGCATGGGCCCTGCTCCAGGTGAACATGTTCATGGCGGCACCAACGTTCGCCAGCCTTGTCTGCCCATCCGCAGACCTGCAGGGACGGCGGCAGCAGGAAGCACGGAACGGGGGTCCTGCAAGATTTTGACGGGTGAGAGGGGTTCCGGTTTCAGGTTTGCTGTTCCTGTTGCTGCTGCTGCTGCTGCTGCTGCTGCCGCTGCCGCCTTTGCTGCTGCTGCTGCTGTTGTTGTTGCTGCTGTTATTGTCGCTGCTGCTGCTGTTGCTGCTGCTGTTGCTGCTGCTGTTATTGCTGTTGCTGCTGTTGTTGCTTCTGTTGTTGTTTGCTGTTGTTGTTGTTGCTGTTGCTCGGTGCTGATGCTGCTGTTGCCGCTGCCCCACCCACCCAACAAGCCCCGCAATCAGGCCTGAGGAGTGAACCTCTGACCGAAAATGGCAATGCTAGGGAGTGAATTCAGCGAGAACTTTTTACCCAAGACAAGAATTCTAAGGAGTGAATGCAGCAGAAAACTTTTGCCGAAGACGAAATCAAGTAGGAGCAAATCTACCAGGAATCCTTTCCCGAAGACGAAAACCCCAAGGAGTGAATCCAGCAAGAAGATTTTGACCAAGACAAAACCGAAGGAGTGAATCCAGCAGGAACCTTTTGAAAACACCCACACCCCGCGGAGTGAATCCAGCTGGAACCATTGACCGAAGACCAAAAGTCCAAGGAATGAATCCAGCAAGAACCTTGCACCCAAGACGAAATTAAGGAGTGAATTTGACCGAAAACGGCAACCCTAAGGAGTGAATTCTGCGAGAACATTTTGCCCAAGATAAAGAGCCTAAGGAGTGAATCCAGCAGGAGCCTTTACCGAAGACGAAAACGCTAAGGAGTGAATCCCGAAGACGAAAACCGTAAGGAGCGAATCCATCAGGAACCCCTTCCCCCCTAAGGAGTGAATCCAGCAGGAACCTTGTAACCAAGCCGAAACCCTAAGGAGTGAATCCAGCGGAAACCTGTTGCCTAACACGAAAACCCTAAGGAGTGAATCCACCGAGAACCCTTTACCCAAGACGAAGCCCCCAAATGAACCTTGTGCGATTCCTTTGGTTTGGTGCTAAATACACCAGAAAAGTGAACGAAGCAGAAAGAAGCTAGTTTCTTGCTGCTAAACACACCAAACAAGCTACAACGAATATGCCTGTGCTGCAACCCTCTGCAGAGATTTGCTCTTTTTGGTCGCAAAGAAGGGCGAAACTACAGTAAGTGTTCTACCCTTTTCGCAAGCTCTAAAGGCATGAAGATCGTATGCAACAACCCAACCCCTCAGCCCTCAGCCCTAGCAGGGGACTCCGAGGAAGGGCTTTGGGGATTGGGTCTACGCGTTAAGGGTGTGTTTGATGCTTTTTGGTGTTGGGGGGCTCAAGGGTCAGAGTTTCGGGTTCAAGGTTGTTTTGTCCTGGAAGTTCGGTGCCTTCAGGTTTTGAGTCCAGGTTTCAAGATGAGTTTGTTAGCCCCCTGAGGTTTCGGGGCTTGGTGTTTCGACTACGGGTTTCGGGTATGGAGTTCAACATGTTTAGGATCACGAAATTTGGGAGGTTTACAGCTTAAGGTTTCAGATTTCGTTCCGTGCTTGAGTCACACGGGGAGCGACCAACAGAAAGCGCGGGAATTTCGCAACCTGTAGGGCGTGGCTCTAGGGAGAGTCGGACCTTTACGATAAGAACCCCTGACCAGGGGTCTCAGCAACTCCGGTTTCTGCGCTGTGCGCTTGGGTGCCAATGGTCCAGAATCTTTCAAGTTCCGGAGGTTGAATTTTTGGAGCCACCTCCTGTCGTTTTTGATCGCCCCTCCTTCGCAAAGGATTTGGAATCAGAATCCTGGAAGAATCTAAACCAAGACAAACCCCAAGACTGCCAAGATTTTAAGACCCCAACCCGAAACATCCAAAAGCCCAAATAGCACACACTCAAGCCCCAAAGGTACCAATGGTTTATCGGTTTATCTGTACTTGGACAACTCTTTATGCATCGATCCTGGTTCCAGAGGAGCTTCTAGACTCGGCTGGCCGGCTGGTGGCCCGCAATCGCATTCGGGAGCTCTGCAGGGTGGAGATGAAAGTTTCTGAAACAAGTAAGGGATTCCATTGCGGGACAAACAAAGACCCGCCGCCCTCTCCGTGTTTTCGATGGTCAGGGTTTAACGTCAGGTTGAATGTTCAGAGTTGGAGCCCGCGGGTTCAGCTCAATCTGTTGGCACATGGATTTAAAGTGTCACGAATTTCGGTTTGTACACCCGGCCTCCTATACTCTTCGAGTCCGAGCTCTACTCCGAAACCGGCAGCCGGATAGTTTAGTCACGTTTAGTCTGGAGAGTTTCAATCGTAAGGGTTTCGAGTTCAGTCATGCTGTCACAGAACTTTGCCCGGAATTCAATCAGGCGTAGACTTCCCGTCCCCAAAACCCACAAATTCCACATCCAAAGGTCCCTAGAAGAAGTAATTGAGAAGACAACAGCATTAATCTGAATGTACAAGAATCACACAAGGAGGTCCCCTGAATTCTACATGTTTGAACTGTGGGCCCGAACTCCCTGCCGGCACAACTAACTGCTTGAAGGAACCTTACCCTAAAACCTCTAAGGAACCCTTTAAGCACAGGACTACTACTCTGGAAGTTGGGTGGCCATTAGCTCCTTGGCCTTGCATATGGAAGCCCTCGTAACTGTCTTTAAGGATTCAGGGCCTCCTTTGAGGGTTTGAAGTATAATACCCTACAGTTGGCCTGGTAAGTAGATTATGGGTAGGGTTCTCAGCAAGGAAAGTCCAAAAAGGGATCTTACAACCCGCGTGCAAAATGCTGAATGAGCCCCCTCAGCTGCATGCAACGGCTACAAAGCTTCTATGGATCGTGAAGGATGGACGCCAGGCTTCCCAAGCCCGAAGCGCTTAAGCCCGAATTTCCTGAGTTTAAAGCCGTCGCGGATGTGGTGATAGAGCAGCGGTGCTTTCCTATGAATTTCATCGCCATCGGGACTGTTCCGTCCAGTTGCTCGTCAGACTCGCAGACTCGTGGCCTGGAGCATTCTAGAAGTATGATACTCTTAGTAGCATCGCTCTTGCATTAGTTAGTTGTGCTCTCGTTCTTCTTTGAGTTTCTTTGATCCGTTCACACGAATAAGTCCCCTTCTAATCCTTCAAGCAGCAGCCAAGAGAAGAGCGCCCCCGCCTGCAATTCGAGGTCAAAGGAGCTATTGAAATATTATGGAGTTCAGGATTGCGTGTGTCTTCAAGGGGCGGGGTCTGTGATTTCGGGTCTCAGGTTGTCTGCACTCATCCTGCTACCCCAAACTCTCTAGACCAAGGCAGCCCGAAACCCTCCTGGATGTTGACGGGCTGCAGACTTTGGAATCTCCACGGACCGCTTAAGCCCATCAAACAGGCACCATGACTCTCAACGGCGACCTGGCGCAAGCCGCTGCGAATGCCAAGATCGGTCAAGCAGCGCGCTCGCGCCCGTCGCCGGTAAAGTTGATCTCTTGAGCCGCGGAGGCCGGGCTTCAGTGCAAGAGCGTCGAGCGAGGAGCTACGTTAGATGCGCATCTATCTTACAAGGACCACATGGACCCTACAATAGCTTACGGTCGCCATTTCGTCTTTACAAACTGGCCGCAACCCTATCAGCATCAGAAGCAGCAAGGGGCAAAGAGGTAGGGCTCAGGGTAGGTAGGACGAGGAGGAGGAGGAGGAGAAGTGCATGAAGAAGCCCCTGCAGCAACCGCTGTCGTTGCAGTCTCTGACTTCATCAGTGATTAACTGCAGTTATGTGCTTTGTCGTTCGCGAGACGTGCTTGGTCGATACCACATAGGATTTCCTACAGTAGCTTGGCAGCCTCCAGACCATGTCGGCTTCTTCAACAGGTTTCCCTGCAAAGGGCAGTCGTTGAAATTGTGAGACGGGACACCAGCACACTGTTGGCCGTGCTCACGAAGCTCCAAAAGCATTATGCAAAATGCCTTGAGTCGGAGAAAGCATGCAGTGAAAGCCGTTCTGTGTTCGATGAAAACTTAACGTCCTTCAGAGTGGCCGTGGAACAGGATCCTAGGCGGTTCCAGAAAAGTTTTGTTCTTTGTCAAGACGTATATTTTCATGTAATTATACATATATGTATATGCAATGATTCGTATTGGGAAATCATACTTTCAGTTTGAAAGAGCTTTCAAAAGCAGCTAAGGATCAAAGGGCTGAAGCCCTTTTTTCGTTACTGTGCTTGAGAAAGATCAGGAGCAGCTCAGGCGGCACATCGAAGAAGTTGCAGCACAAGTTGGCAGCACCGCAGATCCCGCAACTGTACGGATCCAGAAACATAAGTGGCATCCGGATCTGAGGCTCTTTTTTCTCGAAAGCCCTATGTTCGAGGGCTGATCAAGGGCTTGGCAAAGTTGGGAGTAATGTGTCTTGTTGGCGGTGGCACCGTGGCCTGCCTCGTTTTGGCTGCCCTTGCTCTACTCGCAGCCTGCGATACAGTCACCATGCCTGCTGGCAATGTTGTAAGCGGGGCTACACTGCATGCCGTGACGATCACAACGGAAGTCGCAACCTCCTTGCCTCAATTTCTCCGTTCGTCGAGATGCTCGGAGAACTGGAACACGCGAAAGTGTCGGCAGTGCGCGCATGAGCTTTCCCACCATCGAATCTCAGCGCGTGGAGCGCTCGATCGTGGCGAAGATTTGTTGGAGCATGCAAAGCTCCTCGGCCAAACCGAACGGCTGGATGCACTTAACGAGGACCTGGACAAGATTCTCGTGAACGGTGAAAATGCAACTTTGCTGACCAACCCGGGAGAGCTCGTACAAGGCCGCCTCCAAAAGCAGAAAAGAAAGGTGCATGCGCTGCTTTGCCAGCTGGAGGCTCGCTTGCAGGTCTTGCGCGTCCATTCCCAGATGGTGGAGGCAAACTTGAAGCTGCAGCCATCATCAGTTTTGACCATCACCGACAATTCTGAGATGCTGACGGGCAATGTTCTTGAAGACGAAGTTGCACAAAGCCACGGCAGCTCGTAGCCCGAAGAAGCAGAAAGCTGGACCCCTACGTCGTCGAAGCCATCGCTACAAGTAGCACCGTCGCAAGAAGGATAAGAGACAGAGCATCCCGGGGTTTGTTTCAGCAGTCCTGGAGATTCTAGGTGCGTTTACTGAGATGTCCACTTGTTCGCTCAGTCATTCTGTCTCCGAGAGCGTTTCGTGATCCGCGCGAGAAATGACTCTCAGGCATCCTGACCCTGACGGAAAGTCTCCTTCGCAGCAGCCGGGCATTGCTTCGCGGTCCTGAGTCATGAGGCTTAGTGCCACGAGCTTCCAATCATTCAATGTTGTGATGCAACTGCGTTCTGGCGGGAGTATGCGGGAGTGATGCCGAGACAATGTCATGTACTGTACTGACACGCACCGGCATGCTGCTGTGCGGTGTTGCCTCGTGCCGCTTCGCAGGCATGCCAGTATCCCTTCTATCTATGGCTCCTCGCTCGTCATGTAGGGTTTTCTGCTTGAATTCAAGTGTCTTAGCTCGGCAGAGTGCAGACAGACACGTAACACCTCAAAGGCCTGGACCAATCAAAGCAACAGGCAGTTTGCTTCGTTCTGTGTAGATGTTTTTGGAGTTGGTCCAAAGAGCAGCTCTGTGGGCTATCTGGAGGCAAGCCCCCAAGGTAAAAGGGAGGTGAGGATCAGCGCCCTCAGCCCTTCTTTGCTCCATTGCCCTGGGGGGAGTTTCGATTCATTCAATAGACTTGAGACCCAAAGTTGTAGGATCCTTATAAGGACCCTCAGACAAAGCATCCCCAATTCCCCTTTGGGCACTGACTTCTGCCCGGCATCTTTCGGCTCCTGGACGCCCTTTGCTCGCATCGGCAGTTGTTCCCACTGGGAGCCCTGGCTAAAAGAGGCTGTTGGGATTCGTGCGGAAATCCTATAAAGGACGAGTTGCTTTTATTCTTCACACCGCCGATGCACAGAGTAAGGCTGGCATGCATCATGCTAGTTGAGAGGTGGAAAAAATGGCAGACTTTGTGGCAGATTGTGCGAACATGCACTAGCGCTTCATCTCGAGCTGCCTTGCTGCAGGCGACGCAGGTTCCTGTAGGGTGAGAGATTGCATGCGCGTGATGCAGCTGACGAATGTCAGCAGCCGAAGTGAATTCGCCTCATGCATGGGTGCCAGGCCTGAACAGGGCTCTGGGTGTCCAGACTGGGCACTATCAGTTTTACAGACGCTTTCCCGAGGCTGTCTTCAAGGGAGCCCGAAGCCTTCTGAACCCTGAACCCTGAACCGCCTTGCACCGTGAGTTTTGTTCACCGTGGAGCACAAACCTCGACGGTGAGGGCAAAGAGCCCTTCTCTCCGAGATGTCCGAGCCTCCTGTGTTTTAGGGTTTAGGGTTCGAGCTTCGGCGAATTCGTTTTTTTTGAAGCTTACGGCTTTTGTGGTTTGTGGTTTGGCCCATGATGTATTACCCCCGCTCCTGGGGGCATCACTCCCGTTGCAATGTCTACACTAGAAGGTTTAGTAAAGTTTCATCGTCATAAGTTAGTGTTAGTTTCTTTGGTAACACCTTCATGGGCACCTGCATTACCACTACATCAGCATTACCTGAATGTCCATGGTTATGTGGTTTGCTTCGCTATTCGGTTCCAAAACAAGAAGCTTGTGATTGGATGTCCCTATCCAGCAAAGGCCAGCATAGGTTCAGTTGTAAAGGACATAACTCGAAACCCGAGACTGTTGTGATTCATAGGGTAGCTGGTCGAAGTTGTGGCTGTGGGGTCCGTTTACAAACATGCTGACACCGAACTAGCACCTTGCACCTCTTAAGGTTTAAATGGGCGAAGCTCGACCTCTAAGTTTGCCATAGTATGGCAAGCATACTTCCGTAGGATCCATATTCTGGTTACCTGTTCGAGATCACTTTGCCAGAAGCCAGGTATGTATCGAGGCGGTGGGTGATGATGGGCTTGCAAGGCTCGTTGATTTTGGAGTCAATGGGGTATGCCTTACAGAAGCCCGCCGAGCATTGGACCTCGCAATCAATTGCAGTCCCTTTGCCGCAGCGTGTGCTTTAGACTTTTGCGGCCGAAACGGTCGAATCTCGCAAAAAGTGCGTGAAAGCCTGTGTTGAAAGGCTATCATATTCAAGAGGCCTTGAGAGCAGCTAGTCATGTGCGTCTCATGCAGAGCCCTCGGATGGTGAGCGAATCGTCGAGTTTGCTTCAGATTTGCCTGCATGTTGTGCAGCGTTTCATCATTTCCTAGGCAGGACTTGTGACTACTGAGACAACTGTTGGTTTTCCTTTGTCAATAGCACTGCAGGGTTGAGAGGAACCACCCCTCAAGCGTTGATAGGCTTAAATCCAACAACAATGAGCCTGGCAAGGGTTTGGTGACATGGACCCGAATCCTGCCTTTCTGTTCAGCCACGCCCTGGTTTCTCCCTGGCTCATGAAGAAGATGAGGTGGGTGATGATAGGCGGGGTGGTTGACGACGATGGTGTTGCCAGTGTCGTTGATGGTGACCGCTAGTCACTGACAACACAATCAGAAGTGTTTTCACATCATCATCGTCACGTCCATTGCTGTCTTGCAGCCTCTTCCGAGGCGTCCAAACACAACATCCGGAACCTTCAACCCCCAACCGCCTTATGTGGGAAGCGTCGAGGTCGGGGAAGGCCCCTCCCTCCGAGTTCCGAGCGCTCTCCAAGGCGGGAACGTGGAATCCCGTCAAGCCTGAACCGGAAGTCAGACACCTCAAGCCTAGAACTATCCGCAACCCCAAAATGCCAACTAACTTCTAAGCTCGAACCCCTACGCCCTACGCAAGCCCCAATCCTTAAGCGCCTTACAGAAGCCCCAAGCGCGAAGCCCCCCTCAAACCCTGAATCCCACACCCTAACACCCAAAAAGCCTTAAACCCAAAACCCCAACATTTCAATGTCGAACCCCAGCCCTGGTAATCAGGACCAACACTTACTATCCGCATCCCGAGGGCAAGAAGCCTTGGGTCTTTGCCACGGACCTACTCAGGGCTTTCGGGTTGTGGCCTTCCTTCTGATGGTTTTAGGATGATGAGGTTTTCCGGATTTGGGGTTCAGGCCTTCGGGCTTAGGGTTTGAGGGATTTAGTGTATATAGTGCTCAAGCTTGGTGCTAATGTAGGCAGAAACAGGCAGTCGAGCCTATCATCTATCATAAGGTCTTGTGCTATGATTCCCGTTACGAGACCCACGACCATAATCAATCAATCTCGGGATCAATGAGGACCACAACGACAGACACCGCGACGACCAAGACCACAAGGAGACTGCAAGAACACCAAGAGGAGACCACCAGGAGACCGCCCCGGGAACACCAGCATTAGCACGACCACCACCACTACCACAGGCAAGGGACCGTGAAGCGCGATGCAAGGCACCAGCCTCAAACCCCCAAGATCATTTTCCCTAGTTACTGGTTGCCTTGCGAGAAGACGAGCCTCACAGTGTGGCCCCGCTAGAATTTGAGACGCTTCGAGCTGTTTAAGCCCGAGAGGCCGGATAGCGTGGCCCTGCCAGGTCATTAGCGTTTTCGAAGGCAAAAACGGTTCCAATGTCTTGGAATTTACCATGAGTCGCATCTCATCAGAGGACCAGGCCCCATAAATGTTCATCAGGCTGCAGAAGCTTATTGAGCGTCTGGGAACCCTGGACTTGGTTTCGTCGAAGGTGGCTTTGTCTCAACAGAATGAAAAGTCTATCTCCAGTATGGACTGCCGCAACATGTTGCTCACCGTCCGAAGAAGTTGACAAGGAGCAATAACACTGACAGCAGCAAGAACAAGACCTCAGTTCGTGTTTGGCTAGCAGAGGGTTTTCGGCTGCGCGTGTTTAGCAAATGAATTGATTTTGGGACCCGGCGTCTTGAGCTCACCAGTCCGAAGCTCTATAGTTTTTCTTCCAGGTGCTAAACTTTAAACCCAGCACTGCGCATCCGAAATCCAGACCCTACACCTGCAGCTGAGAAACCGCGAAACCCAAGCCTCGAACATCAACTACGGAGGGCTGCAAGGCCTGGTGCCGTGGGAGGTCCCGGGAATGAAAACACTTACCCTCGTACCATACACTAAACCGCCAACCCGAAGACCTCAAAGTAACACCCCCAGGTTGGAGAGCTCAATTTGGCCTTGGCGGTGCCGAGCGAGGCATCCTCTTTGCTCATTGATGGTTGGGTGGAGCTACCTGCCGGGCTGTGCAAGACCTTGACAGGGATCGGTTGGGCCGTTGCGGCGACCTGAAGGTTCATAGTACTGGTGGGCTTTAAGACGTTTGGCCTTGGAGCTTCGGTTCTTGAGGCCGGCATGTCAGGGTGGTAAAGACTGCCCGGTTTGGTTATAGAGTTTAGGCGTGAAGGTTCTATCATGCCAGGTATGTAGTTGCGAAGCTAAAGTTCGACTGTGGCCGATTCACGGCTTGTACATACACCCCGATGTTCACAGCAGCAAGAAGCAGCAACTTCAGATGTCTTTTTCTGGCATTAGTGGCCCTAGGTCTTTGGCGCAAATAGGCAACAGCAGCAGCATCAGCAGCAGCAACCTGAAACACTACGCCCTTGAATCCTAAGCTTGTTAAAGCTTATAAGCTCATAGCCCTGCTTCCATCCTCTAGCCGGAACCTCGAAAACTCGGAAGACGATCAGGAAACTTCTGGGTTTATGTTTAGTTTCAGGACGTGCACCCAATCGCGTCCGAAAGCACATCCTTGGCATCCGGAACAGGTAAGGATGCCACCGGCGACGCCACCGTCGCCGCTGTCCGCAATTGGGCTCCTGAATACTTGAGATTTTGCTTTCTACTTGGGATGTTCTACCCCGAAGTAAGAAAGGCCTTTCGATCTGAACCCACCCCCCCCAGATCCTCAAGAACCTGCTGAATCTTCGGGATGCTCGGTTCCTGCCGGTGACTACGGCACATATCAGAGAACTTTCTGATGTACAACGCAACCTCCAGTTCAGGGCTTGGAGCTTTAAATTCGACAACCT